GCAGTGGCGCGATCTCAGCTCACTGCAACCTCCACCTCCCGGGCTCAAACGATTCTCCTGCCTCAGCCTTCCGAGTAGCCAGGATTACATGCATGCACCACCACACCCAGCTAATTTTTGTATTTTTAGTAGAGACGGGATTTCACCATGTTGACCAGGCTGGTCTTGAACTCCTGACCTCGGGTGATCCGCCCGCCTTGACCTCCCAAAGTGCTGGGATTACAAGCGTGAGCCACTGCGCCCGGCCCCCTGACTGTCTTAATTTTCAATTAAAATGAATGAATGCCTCCAATGAGAACATAGTGATGACAATACTAAAATTATAAACTATATAAATAGTCCAAATGTGGTCTCAGTTCGTAATGATTTAAATATCAGTTCAGAACAAAAAGCAAATACTTGATTCAAATAGTACTTCATTACTTGCTTTCATATAAAATTTCATGTAATACAAATGACTATCTCACAATTATCTGGTAATATGTAAATTAAAGGAAAAGATAACCTTGACATCTTGAAATGAAACAGGATCTTGTCCGTGGATTTTCATTAGTTCCTGTATGGCCTGTATTTGATAGAAATAAATCTAAGTAAAAAATGAAATACACAACATCCCCTCTCTTGCCCCACAACCCCTTTCTACTTATAGTTCCTTTCCTATCAGACCACAAACCTCATCATTCTCTCTCGACAATCTTTTTAGCTTTCTTGACCTTATTCCATATCAATGAGCAAAACCTAAATTCTCAGTGTATTGACCTTTTTAGACCTGTATCTTAACTACTGAGAACTTCAGGAAAAAAAATAAAAAGACTACAGATTGCTGCGTCTACATAGGAATGTTCTCCAACCTCAAATGGGCCCTCAACATGGCATCACAATTATTCTGTTTGATCTGCTCCTCTCATTTTCCACGAATGTTATTCCTGCCTTCACTATTAAGACCCCCAATCTACTGTCTCCCTTCCTACCCTACACTTTGCTTTCTACGTAATACAAGAAATGGAGGTAGACCTCCCAAAACTCTTCCTTTTTATAAACTTTAACAAAAAAATGAAGAAACTGCTGTCATCCAGTGGGACTACAAAGTACTTCAGGTGAGCATTATTCAGTGGAAATGTGAAGTTTAAAATTCTTGGTGAATAGTCAACTAACTTTGTTCCTAATGCCTACTCTGTATGTGTTACCACTGATAATCAGAGTATCCATAAAGGAATCTCTTTGAAGTAGATAAGCATCTGAGTACATGCTATGTTAATATAGTAATAGGCTTGGATGGTATGATCTAGAGGGAATCATCCAGGCCCAGCTTTATCACTAGGATACTGATGTCCAAACGCTCTATGAATAGCCCAGGATTATAGGGCTCAGCACTGGACACTTTTTTTTTTTTTTT